ACAAAGTGGGATTTCACTGTATGGGTGAATTCCTTCACTTTTCTTCACTTAGAGGAACTATTGTTAATGCCAAGGGATCTAGTCCTCTGACTCATGACCAGTAAAGGTCAACAGCATACATACTCCATCCAATATTGCATCACTTCCATGGCCTAGCACTTAGCTGGTGGATATCAGGATAAGAAAAGAACTCATTGTTGTCAGGGCAGCAAGTTCAGCACTTCTCTTTGGCTTGAGGCAGGACACTCAGGACTTCATAGATTTCATAGACATTTGGGCCGGAAGGGACCCCAGAGGATCATTGAGTCCAGCCCCCTGGCCAGGGGCAGGAAGTCAGCAGGGATCATAGGATCCCAGAAAGATAAACATCCAAATATCTCTTGAAAGTGTTCAAAGTGGGTGCTTGAACCACCTCCGGCAGCAGTCTATTCCAAACCTTGGGGGTTCAGACAGTAAAGAAGTTCTTCTTTATGTCTAGCCTGAAACAGTTGCAGAGGAGTTTGTGACCATTCGATCTTATTATCCCTTGGGGCGCTCTGGTGAACAGACGTTCCCCCAGGTTCTGGTGAACACCCCTAATAAACTTATAAATGGCCACCAGATCGCCCCTGAGCCTGCACTTTTCTAGGCTGAAGAGTCCCATGGCTCTCAGCCTCTCATCATAAGGTCTGTTTTCCTGACCTCTGATCATGCACGTGGCTCTCCTCTGGACTCTCTCAAGCTTCTCCACATCCTTTTTGAATTGTGGAGTCCAAAACTGGACGCAATACTCCAGCTATGGCCTCACCAAGGCCGAGTACAAGGGGAGAATGACGTCCTGGGATTTGCTTGAGAAGCATCTATGGATGCAAGCCAGCGTTTTGCTCGCTTTACTAGCTGCAGCATCACATTGAAGGCTCATGTTCATCTTGTGGTCAATCATGACCCCCAAGTCCCTTTCATCCATGGTGCTAGCCAGAGTAGCACTGCTGAGCCTATAAGCATGCTGCAGGTTTCTCCTCCCTAGGTGGAGAACCTTGCATTTATAGGCGTTTCTTAAACACCATCAGATTCTCGTCTGCCCATTTCATGAGCCTGTCAAGATCTGCCTGGATCACCCTCCTGTCCTCAGGTGTGGATGCTTTACCCCAAAGTTTGGTGTCATCGGCAAACTTGGACAGCCCGCTACTGACACCAATGTCAACATCATTGATGAAGATATTAAAAAGTAAAGGGCCTAGGTCAGAGCCTTGAGGGACCCCACTGGTCACAGGGCACCATGACGATTGACTTTGGTCAACCACCACCCTCTGGATGCTGCCATGGAGCCAATTTCTCAGCCAGCAGATTGTGGTGAGGTTGAGGCCACAGTTAGCCAGTTTTGCCAAAAGGTGATCATGGGATACCAGATCAAAGGCTTTTTTAAAGTCAAGATATATGACATCAATGTCTTCTCCCTTAACCAGCTGAAAGGTCATCTGGTCATAAAAGGAAATGAGATTGGTCAAGCAAGACCTACCCACAACAAACCCGTGCTGGGTATCCCTCAGGATATTGCCATCAGCTAGCCTGTATAGGATGGCCTCTGATAATATTTCACAAGACCTTCCCCAGGATAGAGGTTAGGCTGATGGGTCTGTAGTTTGCTGGATCCACATTCCTCCCTTTCTTGAAGATAGGCACGACATTGGCCTTCTTCCAATCTTCAGGCACTTCACCAGAGTACCAGGAATTCTCAAAGATCTGTGCCAGGGGCTGAGCTATGATGCTTGCCAGCTCTTTAAGTACACTTGGGTGTAAACCTTCAGGGCTGGCTGACTTGAAGGTATCCAGCCTGTCAAGGTGTTCCTTCACAAGGTCAGCTTTGATGGAGGGTAAGGAATCTCCCTAACCTGGGCCTCCCTGATCCATAGTGGGCAGGGGCATCCCATGGGACTGGTGAAAAACTGACTCGAAGTACCCATTTAGCAAGTTTGCTTTTTCCTGGGCATCGGTTGTCAGTTGTCCCATCTGGTTTAGCAGGGGTCCAATGTTGCCCTTGCTTTTCCTCTGGCTCTCCACATATCTAAAAAAGGACTTTTTATTGTCCTTGATATTTGTAGCTAGCTGGAGTTCCATCACAGCCTTGGCTTTCCTGTTTTGCTCTCCGCAGGTCCAGAGCAGAGCAGAGTTTTTCTGCTTGGTTGTGGATCCTGTCCTCCATCCTTTGTAGGTCTTCCTTTTAAGATGCAGGAGGTCCACCAGTTCCCTGGAGAGCCAAGGGGGCTGTTGTGCCCTTTTGCTGCCTGTCCTCCAAGACGGGATGGACTTAGCTTGTGCATCCAGGATTGCTCCCTTGAGGAGCAACCACTCGTTCTGAACTCCCCTCCCCTTTGGGTTGTGGCCCTTTAGGGCCTCACTGACAAGCCTCCTGAGCTTGTCAAAGTCAGCTTTCCTGAGTCGAGGACTTCTGTATGACTGACTGACTTGCCAGCTTTACAGCAGATGGTGAAGGTGATCAGCTCGTGATCACTGTCACCCAGCTTCCCTTCAATCATTAGGTCACTGATTAGGTCATCCCCAGTTGCTAGAACCAGGTCGAGCAGCGCTTTACCTCTTGTTGGCCTGTAGACTTCCTGTGTCAGATAGAGGTCATCTACGCATGAGAGAAAGCTTTGTGCCTGCTTGGATTTGGCTGAGTGCTCCTCCCACGAGATGTCTGGGTAATTGAAGTCTCCCATGACAATCATACACTGGGAGTCCGCGGCCTCAGCCAATTCCCTGGCAAACTCCTGATCAAGATCTTGGCTCTGGGTAGGGGGTCTGTAGTAGGCTCCCACCATAGTATCCCCTGTGCCATGTTCCCCACGGATTTTAACCCAGAGGGTCTCAAGTCCACCACGTGTGCCAATGTCAGCTTGCAGGGATGCATAGGTTTCCTTGACAGAGAGAGCTACGCCCCTGCCCTTTTTGTTCACTCGATCCCTCCGGGAGCAGGTATGGCCATCTATACCTGTGGCCCAGTCATGGGTGGAGTCCCACCAGGTCTCTGTTATCCTATGACATCATTGTTATTTGCATTTAGCAGGAGGACAAGTTCCTCCTGTTTGTTTTCCAAGCTCATGGCCTTTGTATAGGCACACAAGTGTCCCCTTGGGGGCCCTTGCCTTGCCTATAGTTCATTCCAGGGCTGGGGCAGGGGTGGGATCTCTTAAGTGCCTTGGTCTGCTGGCTTTGCAAGGGTTGCTCAGTGGGCCAGCAGTGGCGATAGTCCCCCTGTTCCCCAGTGGGCTTAGTTTAAAGCCCGGTGGAGCAGGTCATCCAGTCGGACTGAGAAGAGCCTCCTCCCCAGCGGACTTTCGTTCACTACCTGGATCGTCCTCTTCCTCCTCAGCCTGTAGCCTGAGACTGGAGAATCGAGAAAAACACCACCTGCGCCCCCAGACCCTTTACCCCGCTCCCAAATCCCTGTAGTGCCTCATGACCTGGCTGGGAGTGCTCTGAGCTGTGTCATTTGTGCCCACATGGATGAGGAGCATGGGATAGTGGTCAGTGGGCTGGAGGAGCTTAGGGATCTTCTCCGCAATGTCTTGGATTCTGGCTTCTGGAAAGCAGCAAACTTCCTGGGCGAAGTGGTTGGGGCAGCAGATTACTTCCTCAGTTGTCCCTACCACAAACACATTTGGTACCTGGCATTTGACTTGTCCCTACCACAAACACATTTGGCACCATCATTAAAGCCAGTATCTCCATGGGTGCAATTTGTCAATGATTCACTGAGGTCAATAATTTGTGCAGATTTCCAGCAATGGAGGTGTTTTCTAAACTAATGAAAGATTGTTTTTAAACTGCAGTGCTCGATCTTCTCCAGGAATTCAAACTGTCAACAGCATCAGATAAACACATAATAGAAGGATCAAACCCAGGATCTATAGCCTATCGCATAAGTCCTAACATACAGCTCAGGAAAAATACAAGGTATGCTATAAATCAGAGGTTTTCAAACTGAGGTTTTGTGATAGGCCCTCAGGGGTTCCACAAAGAGACTGAGGATAATGGGGGAGCAGGCCATAAGGCCAAGTTCCTTGGCTCTGTCTCAGGTCACATGGCTGGCAGAGCCAGGGGGAGGGGTTGTGCAGCAGAAGAAGTGATATAAAACGGTTCCATGATTTTAATTTAATAATCACTACTATAAATGAAGCTCTATAGGACAGACTTTGCTGAACAAAAATTCATTTGTTAAATATAGAAGGTAAGATTTCAGAGCTATATTGAGACTATATGTGGGAAGTACTACATAGCCCTCAGGCAAATACCAGGCTTAACTGCAGCCACTGTTCTCTCTTCTGCATGTGGATTGACTTCTTTAACACTCCTGGGAGACAAGGCACCCCAAAGGGAGCCATACATCATAGAAAAGTGAGAAACATGCTGTGCTGATTGTATGGCTTGTGTCCACTGATGTTTTCAGTAAGAATTTGCTTGAGGTCAGAATGCAGAATCTGGCTTTTTTGTTCATCACCTCTGGGAATAGCACTGCAATCTCAGGTGTCCAGTAACTAATTAAGCAGCTTCTTTGCCACCTTACAGCACCATTAGAGTAATATAATTTAAATACATTAGAAAGTAAACGTTTTAAATGGACTTTCTTTTACTTGGTTGATGGGTAGATTTTTTAAAATCAGACCATATGTGTTTTTGTTTTAGTGCTGGTTTTCCAGATGGCTTCCCTTCCAAATACTCTATCATTGCTACTTTTAAAATGCTGGAAGACACTTCACAAAATATGTGGCATTTATGGCAAGTTAGTGATTCTGATGGCAAAGACAAAGTTGGCATTCAGGTTCTGAGAGACAACAAAAATCTAGATTTCTTTTATGCCAGTTCATATAAAATAATCCTGTTCAGGACATTCAACAACATGGACAAAATTTTTGATAGCTCCTGGCACAAGTTAGCATTAAGTGTGAAAGGGAGTAATGTAAAATTGCTGATTGATTGTCAGGAGGTCAGTGCAGTTCCCACAAATGAACACGGAGACATTTACAGAAATTTGTACACTTCCCTAGTAAAAAGATCAGTCGAAAAGTCTTCTGTTTTGGTAAGTATCTTTCAACATACTGGTATGTACCAGTCCTTGTTATTACATTGTCCTTTGTTGGAAATATTTAACAGAAGAAAGCCATTTGGTTCAGTTAGTGGGGGGGGGGGGGGGGGGGGGGAAAAATGTTTTTT